TACCACCAAACTTATAAACGGCGGCGATCCATAACCATAAATGATATCTAAGAAGAAGAGCGTGCGCGTGACCGGTGTGTGTACTCATTCGTTCATACGTGCGTGCGTGCATGCGTGCGTGCGTATGTTGGCCACTCGTTGAAATAAATTGCGAGTCTCTCCGCGCGTGTACTCGCGCGCTGCACACCTGCACCTACGCCCCGGCGATACTTTAAACACGCTTCGCGAAGGCCTTCCTCGTAGGCGCAAGACCGAGCGTGAGTCGGACAAAGTAGATAAATCGAAACGAGATGTATACGGTGCCTCTCCCCTTCTCTCTCTCTCTCTCTCTCTCTCTTCTCTTGCCAGCGAACCCGCCGCGAGCCTTCCACCCGGAGATCCCCAGCTTGCGACAAGTAACCGCGATTGTCGCCGGTGTTTCGAACTGTATCGCTGTTCGCGACGTCGATATTCGATCGTAACTAATAGAAATGTGTAAAGTCGCGCGTGCGCGCGCGCGCTGCTTTCAATCGATAAAAAGCAGGTGTACATGGTATCGGCGAGAGCGATTTGTGTGTTTACTCGTACCTATCATCCTCGGATTTTATGCGCGCCACGTACAGGATCGCGAGCTTTCGCATAAATTATCCGTTTGTTTTGCCGCGAAACGCGTCGACTCGACCGCGTTGATTTTCGTTGATTGTACAGAGACTTAACACACCCAAAGGTGTATAATCTTATCCTTAGCGGGATCCCCTTCTATGTAGCCTCAAGAGGATCCTCTTCTAAGAGCAAAAGGAAAATATTCCAACATCTAAAAAGAGAAGAACTGCGGTTGCAAGGTGCTACTTCCTGTGATCCCATATTCCAAGTGGGAACTTTTACCGTAGGAGTATTGAGAGGAATAGACCATTGATCGGAAATCTACTAGATATTATTATAACCTCTTTCCTTTTGAATCGAGAGGAATATATTTGCTTGAAGCAGAATGCCTTTTTCCGCGCGAGATGAAAGACACGACTTGTAGGCAACAGACAAAAGTTCTCTAACGTTCAGAATATTGTTGTTGGAATATTTTCCTTCTAGTTTTAGAAGAATTCTTTTTGAAGTCATATACGGTTTGTTCAACATGATGCTATTCTTTTATCACTTACAGTGATCGGGCAGGAAAATTTCTAGATACAATTACTCAGTTTTTAAAATACAATATAAGATGAAATAATAAAAATTTGGGAACCGTTATTTTGTTATAAAAAAATCAAGGTCACTTTTATTTTTTTCAGATATACACTGAAAAAATGATTTTCATATTTGAAACTAAAATATTTGGTACATACGATGGTTGGCATTACCAGGTTCTTTACTCAAATAGGATATATTAGTGAGAAAACAAAACACACAAGCAGCAGTTAAACTTTTAATTCCATTCCTAACGGAAATAAAAGAGCAAGAAAGAATATCAGATCTAATAAAACACTTTCCCTCTTTTGTTCTGAAGAGTCCCGAAACTCTTCTTTGAACAAAAAAGAGTTTAGATAAAATGCTATTAGACATCATTTTCACCAGAAATTCTGTATCAAATTTTGGTCAGATGTACCAAACTTTTGTTACCGAGGAAAGCCTTTTCTTCAGTGCACATCTCTTTTTCCGTTCCCGAGAATTCCGTGTGGCAGATTCATTCCTGAGAGTTCCGTGTGTGCGCGCATTATCATCATTATAAACGACGGAACATCTCGTCTTCTCGGTCGACGCGGCCGAGACGTGGAAATAAATGAAGTATGAGAAATGAAGTGAGGGTCGTTACACGGGAACGCTGACGTTTCGAGAGCGCTCCTCAATGCTGACGGAATAAATCAGACGGATATCTCCTCCCACAGATCCCCCTCGCAACCGCGTGCATGCAAATCGCTCGAAACGCCTAACAAAGTCTCCACGATTAATGTACATCGAACGCGCACCGACTCGCCGTCGATTCGCCGAGTAGACGGATCGAAATGACAATGTTGCACCCCGACCGGGTGCCCTCGGGTGCGAATGCGAGCGGCGTATAAATCGCGTGTAAATCGTTGCCTTCGCAACTTGTTCATCATTCACGGCACGCAATAGCTACCGTCGTCTGTGCCGGGTTAGCGATGCTACTTTAATCGCGAAATTAGAATAGTTTGTGCGCTCGATACGAGCAATTTGCCACCATAAATTCACGTCCGCGCGAAACGGCGGCCGACGTGTGTGTTTATAGTGCAGATTACGCGAATCGCGCGACAGATTACAGTCCTTACGCGAAACATTCGAAGTAAGTGATTTTCTATCGCGTGCTGTGTGCAAGAGGAAATAAATAACGCTCCGCTATAAAGACATACGACACGTCGTCCAATCAACGGAGATCGATCACATGAGACTCGACAACCAATCTCCCGTTGGCACTCCTAAATCCGTCTCAAAGGGAATTAAAACTCCTAACGCGCCACTTTGGATCCAACCTTAAAAACGCGACTTTGGGATGTTGGAAAATTGTTTTGAAGATTCCGGGCGTATTACTGAGGGAGCAGAGTCACATTAACTTAAATTAAATTGTCATTCAGGAAACGGTGCTGAGCGAAATACGCACTCTTGACGTTATTTTCGAAAATACACCTTTGGAAACGCGAAAATTACTTCAAAAAATTATAAAAAAATTATCGAGGGAGAGAAAGAGAAAGAGAGAGCAGAGAGAAAAACGTGTCCCCAAAATGTGCTATTTACTATATGCTATACATAATATATACAATACCAAAGTAATTTATGAAAAATATGAGTTTAATAAAGTGCCTACTCATTTTAAAAGCTAAATACTCCTTTTGAGCTTTATATTAAATTTCTTTTTTATTTTTGTAAGTTTTCTCCAAATTACCATTTTACTAGCTTTCCAATATTACCGAATCATCGCAATTTACTGAATAAGTTGCCGTCAGACCGGATCTCTAAATATAAGATTTCATCTCTAAATATAATGGACTATGTCTGCCGATAAATCAATCGAAACTACTAAAAATGAAGAAAAGATAGGTGGAACGTCCCATCTGGCCATCTGGCCTCCTATGGCTCGAAAGGTTAGGAAACGGGAGAACAGAAAGAAACGTTCACCACACGGTCGTTACGCGAAATAGTTATTTCGTTCGGCTGCGACGACGCGGCTGCAGGTACTAGACGGAAGGTCGGCACGAACAGGCGATACCTCTCTCGGACGAGCACTTGTACCACGGTCTGCTCCTCCTCGGCGGAGAGGAGCACGTCCTTGTAGCTCATGCCCGCGGTATATGCTCGGCTGTCGCGCGACCTGCACGCGCGCATTAAACGCGATACTTATGCGCGGTTAATATGCCCCGCGGCGCGCCGGCGCCCCGTCGCCAGGCGAATTAATTCGAGCGCTCGCGTCGATGTAATTAATAATTAGTCGAATGCTTAATTAGTGAGCGAGCATTCCGACCAATTAGATTGCGCCGAGATGAAGCTGTGATTCGTCGCGCGTCCCGCTGAGAAAGAAGATCCCGGCCGTTCTTCTCAATGGCCGGCCGATGTCCTCTCGCTTTCTTTCTCTCTCCCTCCCACCCTTGCCTATCTCTTTCTCTCTTTCTTTCCCCGACAATCTGTCGACTAATTGCGAGATCTCACGGCCGTGTAATTGCTCTTCTTTAATTAGGCTCGCCCCGCGAGACTTCGCTCATTCCGGAGTGTTAATTGGATTCAAATCGACCGAGCTGCGTAAAGTATCGGGCGCGCGAATGTAAATTTTCCCTACTACGACGGCGTTACGTGGAGACGCGATGACGAAAACTGCCGTCGGTAGCCGCGACCATATTTACACGGTTGGCCACAGTCAACATCCACCGCGTGTGTTACATACACGAAGTCGTTAGTGGTCTTTCAATTGAAAGCATTCGCATGCTTCTGCGACACTCTGTCGAGGCACGCGTTATCTCGAAGAAGATACATAGCAAGTACGTTCATTTATAGCGAATTTAAATGTTTTAATAGCGACTCGATTATGAAGGCTTAAGCTTGATAATAAACGCGTGTGTATCACGATTAAGAAAATTCAGATTTTACAGGAACATCCGAGTCAAAACTTTGGTTCTGTGTTAAACTTTCAATTCTACAACGCAGTAGAAGCTGAGTTAGCAAAGTAGGTTTAATTCTAATAACACAATTTACTCCTACTTTGACTCTGATGAAGAGGTTTTTTTAGCATCAAAATATGTTGTATTATAGGTTTCAGAATATCAAAATAGATGTTCAATAAAATAGTGAGACTGAAAGTAGAATCAAAATTTCGATTCGGGTAGATTAAATAGAATCTATATCAACCTCAAAGGAGGTTAGTATAGATTTCAGAGTATGAAAATAGATGTTGAATGCAATAGTAAGGCTGAAAGTAGAATCAAAATTTCAATTCCAAATGGCACCAAATATAAATATTCTACACATAAGACTTATTCCTCCCATTTTGAAATTCTCTAAACAAGAGAATTTCCACTCAAAATAAAAAGAGTAAATCTTATGTTCAAAATATATTTTACACTTGGTACCTATTTTAGAGAATTCTTCTAAGAATATCAATTTTTCAGTGTGTGCAAAATTACAATATTCAATATTAAATTCATCACGAACGGTGCAATTCAAATTACAAATCGTATGAAACTGCGAATGTATTCTACTGCGATAAATATTGCGTGAAATTTTTGTACAATTTTAGGCATTTTACGAGTGAATAAACTTTCTAAGTATTTCGCGTTGCCTAATTATAACAGCCTTTCTTTTATCGGCAATCAATGCGATTTATTATGTCTAAACTACTACATGCACTACGTAATATGATGCTTCATGAGCATATAAATTGTACACTCACCATCTCGTGCTGATGTCCAACAACGTCAACAGTCCAATGTCCAGTCTTGTGAACCTCCGTAATGTCCAGTTGGTATTCAACGTCGTCGTCACGCAGTACACTTTGCTGCACTCATGAGCGTGACTTGTCTAACGCTTAACAATTTAACTGAAAGTATACAAAATACTCCGGCGCTTCGAGAATATATTCGTGAGTCGCGAATCGTATGGAAAATAATCGTAAATATCACGGCGCTTTCGACAAGATCGAGAGAGAAACTTTCTGAACAAATCGTGGTTCGCGATCGTTTATACTTGTGACAGTCGAGGTATTTTTTTCGTGAAAATTCTGGCTTTCAACAAAAATAATAAATACCGTATTTTAATTACCGTAATACCGGCAGAGATTTCGACTAAAGTGATATTATAATCCGTTAAAACGTGTAAAAGTTTAAGAAATTAACGGTCGCGACGACTGCAAAATTTATCGTGCAAAATATAGTAGCACAATTATAGTGAGCAATTCTGCTGCACAGCTTTGGTGCACAACTTTGATGCACAATTCTAGCGCACAACTTTGATGCACAATTCTAGCGCACAACTTTGGTGCACAATTCTAGTGCACAATATATACTGGTGCATAATTTACACTGTTTGAGATAATTTAAGAATCAAATAAACTAAAAAGAAATATTAAGATCGATATCTTTAGAAAGGTCGATATCTTTAGAAAGAAATATTCAATAATTCAAGCATCTTGAAAATAAGACTGTTCAAAAGTGATTTCTTGATTATTTCAAACAGTGTATTTTAATAGGTAGACATATGTAAAATTCTACACCGAGAGAAAAATATTTGATATTTATAACTATAATTATATAGTAAGATAATTATTGGGATTTCGAATTAATTGTATAATTCAATAAATCGTTTTGATGAATGCTATTACAACATTGTTGATAATAATTTTATCATTGCTACTTCTTGTTAGAACAACGAGAAATATGAGTGATGGCGAAAATTATTATAGTTTGTTATGCAATTAATAATTTTTTTTCTTTCGGTGTGCATATAGAAATCTACAAACTGAGTAAATCGCATTGATTTCGTATAAAAAATCCCGTCACCTTAAATCTTTTGTTCTTAACTCACCGAAATATCAGGAACTCAAGATCGGCCTCGTACTGCTACAATTCTGCAACAAAAAATATAGCATTGCCGATTAGACACGACAATCGATGACACAACGATAAACATACGCGCGAATACGTGTGTATCCTTTGCGATTATTCAGTAATTTTTAGACAACTATATTTCAGTTTTTGATCGCAAAGGATTTAATGAAGGAATACGGGAAATCTATAAACCTTACCTTCGAGCCGACCTTGCTCGGCCCGAACCGGATCCTCCGGTACGGCATCCACCGAATCCAGCGTGTGGCCGCAAGCTCTCTCTCAGATCTGAAACAAACAGTGAGATTCCTGAGTCATATGGATATATCAATGCATCGAGAATAAAAAGAGAGGCTACACTGAGAGAAAAATTATATCAAAATCATAGTTGTGCACCAAAAATTATATTAAAATCAACAAATATTTCTTTGATGGGTGCCAATAACATATTTACTTAAATCTACATTCTTTTTATTTAAACCAAATATTGCTTATTTAAATCAGGTAAACAATATTTGATTTAAATAAAGAGAATGTAGATTTAAGTAAATATGTTAATGGCACCCATCAAAGAAATATTTGTTGATTTTAATATAATTTTTCTGTCAGTGTATGTATCTTTCTCTATAAAAGTAACAAATCTCTCATTAGAAGTAACAAAATGGCGCAATTACCCGTATAGAGAATGCTGGCTACTGCTCAGAATAATCGTGGCCGAGAATATAACGTATAGCGCACACGCGAGTGAAATGTATAACGCGCACGGTACACGTCTCGAGAGCGCACTGATCGAACTGGAAAATTCGGGACACACACGCGACGTCCCGCGACTTGTTTACCCTCGCGCGTCGAGGGCTGTTATGATCGCTCGCGGCGGTAACGTACGCGCGTCTATTGTTCTCGTAGTCACGTGACTTTCGGCTGGTGAGACGCAGCCCAAGCGCCGTTATCGTCAAATCAACATTTTTTGTGTCTCATGATATCGGCGCTATACAAGGTATAACACTGGTATAGCCACAAAGAAGATGATTCCTCGTGCAAGGGTGAATCGAAAAGTAGAATAAAATTCTCCCATAAAAATATTTGAAAATTTATTCGCGGAATAAAAACTTATCTTACATAGAAATATAGACTCTATTTCACAGAAATAAAAATCATATTCTGTAAGTAAATTTTCCTTTCTCAATATACGAAGTTGTGTTTCAAAGAACATTGAATTTGAAAAGCCATTTGGCGCAGAACTGAAAGTGCAGAATACATTAACATCATGCCACAAATTTCTGATCTGAGTGAACATTTGTGAACAGCAATAAGCACGACATTTCCAGCAATTTTTGAATTAAATAAATATAATAAAATAAATAAATAAAATAAAATAAAATAAAATAATAATAAAATAAATAATAATAATAAAATATAAATATAAATATAATAAATAAAATGTAAATATAATAAATATAATAAATATAATAAATATAATAAATATAATTAATAAATATAATAAATAAAATATAAATATAATAAATAATAATAATAAAATAAAATAAATAAATAAAATAAATATAATTCCTCAATTTTTTATTGTGTTAAACCTTAAAAGTAGAATTGTTTACGAACATAAAAAGCAGTATAATGTTCAACTGTTATGTGTTAGTCAAGTCCGCGTGTACCCAACGAATTTTCAAATTTCCCCACAAATGAAGCTTCAAATGTGAAAAAATGTAATTCTACACTCTCGATTTATTTTTACGCAATCACCTGTGATTCTTATACTGTGATTTTCATTGTGTATTGTTTTATAGTATTCAATTGCAATGGCAACTGACATCGCGGAAAACAGTCAACAACGAGGCGACACGGCTTTCTTTGTGAGCGAACGACGCGACTTAATATTCGAAATTGCGCACGACTCGATATTTCTCAGTGATGCGATCGTCTCGCTCGAGTAAATCGACGAATTTAGATTTCACTTTCGCCACGGACACGCGTAAATACGTTCCTACAGTTCGCCGGGGAAGATTGCCATGACGATAACAGCGGCAACATCGTCAGCGGAGCAACGGTTACTCTGTCTCCCCGGAGAGTCGCTTTTTTGCCGTGGTATTTTTCGAACGCGGCGTAAAAGGCGAACCAGCTTCTGCGTAGGCAGGTGGATCACCTGCAACCATCTCGGATGCCGGGGCGAATCCGGCAGCTCATACGCGAAAATTAGGGTAGCCCGCCGCTGAGGAGGCAGGAGGTAAGAAAAAGCGTGGGCACTCGCGCAGTCCGCCCGATGATCTTTTGCCGGCAGCCGTAAAGAAATTCGCGAAGGAAATTCTTGCCGAAACGAGCCGGCAAAAAGTTGCACCAGAAACCTCGTCCCTCCACATAGAAGGGCGAACGGTATCAAAGGTGTGCGTACTTTCGAAAACGCAACGCGCGTAATAAATCGCATTCGGGAAGACCAATCCATTCGTAAATTATTAAACATTCTCGTCAATTATACAATATCCCAAAAGAACGATTGTTTTTGGTATATTGATTTGATTCTCTCTCAAGTCTATAGAGCCTTAAACATGGGTAAATTTTATCCAGAACATCTTCATTTGCTCATAATTTCCATAAAAATGACCAACATTTAATGTTCCTTTTTAATTAGTGTAGAAAACATTGTGTAATACGAACTTATTAATATTTTCGCGATTCGATGAAAAGGTACAATGAAAAAACAAAACACATGTTTTTAGAAACAGGGAAACGTCTGGAAGGTTGGTCTAAGTAAATTTTGGTCATATTTAGGGTTTGAAGATTAAGTCTTGTTCGCGGAAAGATTTTGCATAAGGGAGGCCGGAACTAGTCGGCTACCGAGATAAATTGATTATTTCTAGTATTTTCTATCAAGTTACAAAATTAAGCAAGATTTTTAAACATGTCAAAGATGATTTTGACCTTGTTTGCTCGATTCTGAAATCTGTTAAAGAACAGTAGAAATAATTGATTTTGTCAATTTACCCCAGGTGGCTAAATAGCCTCGATCTTCCCTTTATACTTCTTTCAATCTCTTATTCCATTATCGTTATTTCATTCTTTTGACTCAAGTGTTTAAGAAAATGAGTATGACGACGTTTATATATCTTTCTTGTGCATTGTATATTCCAACCGCTTTGCAAATTATATAAATTCGGAGCAGTGGATAATCTATGTATATACATAAAACAGAATGTCTGTGCGCTTCTAAATCCTTTGACTGACCTGGGCGAAATTTTACACAGTTACTCTCTAGAACCCTGCGGAAAATATAGGCTGCGTGAAACCTGGACATCCCACCCTCGCCTCCTGATTTCATCCCTTTGACACACCGACTTGTGATAACCTGAACAACACCGGATAGTTTCAGCTGGTTATGAGTATATAAAATACACGAATTGAGCGAAACAATTCTCGATTGCGGAGGGAGCTTGCTTTCTGCGACTTTAGTGTCTCTTTTTTGCAGGGAGGTTAAACGATCCGCTGTAAACTCCCTCGTCGCGCCGCCTCCACCGCCGGGTCTTCGACCACGCGATATTCCCTTGGGCAAACAGGTGAGCGCCGCAACGAGTAATAGTCGGGGTGAAAGGTGAGACGCGTCACGAGTGACAGAAATGCATAATCGTACGTCTTCCTCTCGCACCGTCACTCCCATCAACTGTAAAATGCGCCCACTCTTGGCATAGTCTTTGCGCCCTAACGACCCTAAGAACTCGCCTATGATCGTTAAGGTTCATCGTAAATAAATATCGTAGTGTAAGTTAATACAGACAAGTATATTGCCGTTTAAATCTCTTCGTTTTTGCAAACGCTCGATTCCTCTCTGTCCGCTTTTTGATACTTTAATAGGAACTCTACCAAAACAAATTACATATAAGTCTAACGCAAAGTATACTTCGTGTATACATATAGATTAGGTCAAGCTGAACACGAAATTCTCCTATCATTTTGCAAACAACCACATCAAATTATGAGTTATTAATTGAAGAAGATTGGCGGATGATAACGTGCAATAATGCCGAAACAATGTTCTTTAATTAATAACTCGAAAATCGATGTGTTTATTTGCAAAATGGTATAGGATTATTTTGTTCAATTTGTCCTAATGTACAAGCACACGACAGGTGTCGCTATCACAATTCATCTGCCATATCGTGCAAGATCATTCACGTCGTTGTTTGCAAAACAGTAGAGAAATTTTGTGTTTAGTTCGACCCCTAATCTACATGTACACGTGATGATGGAACACTTTACAATAGACACTATATATTACTGTCTTACTGTTTCTATAAAATACTTCTTTTAACGTGTGCAAGGGCGTGCCCTTGTAAAACGAGGCTCATTAGTCGGAACCTCACTAATAAAAGCAGAACGATTCGCCGGCTAATTTCGCGGCATATTAAGATACGCTTCGTGGAAGGAACAAGAATAATATATTCCGCTTGATTCTTCGACATTAAGACATTAATTGACACACATGTACAGGCCTGTTGAAATAATAACGAAATTGTCAAGCGTCCTCGGAAATTTCTGTTCGATTGTGACGGCGAACTCGGAGGCTAAAAACGCTCGTGAAATTGGAACACGCGAAATCCTGGCGATCGAAGCCGGTCTAATTCGTCAGAACTGAAAGTCTCCGTAAAAAGAGGATCGCGCGCGGGAACCGCATGGCTCGTCTTAAAGTATCCTTGACGAACATGCAGAAGGGTTACTGCACCGCGAGTGAAACCAGGACCGGACGTTGGTAGCCGAAGAGTAGCCCCTCTGGTAGCCGCGGAGTGGTAGCCCAAGGCTACTAGAAGATTGCCGGCAGACAGGTGGGTGAGGCGAAAGGATGGCTGAGGTAAAAGGTAGTGGATGGTGTTGTATGCCCCTCTTACCTCCAATCTCCTCTTTCTCCTTCTCCCCTTCCTCCTTCTCCTCTTTCTCCTCCTCCTCCTTCACCACTACCACCACCAGCACCACCACCTCGTCCTCCTCCTCCACCTCCTCCTCCTTCATCTTCTTCTTCTTTCGGGGCCCCTTTTCTCGGGGCCCACTTAGCCGCACGCGAACCTCCGAGTGCCCGGATAGAAGCCAACTCCTCTTCTCTTTCCTTCTCTCTCTCTCCCTCCCTCTATCTCTATATATATATTCGACTTCCACAGCGCACTTGGAGCGCGCGAGGGGAAGGATGCGGAGAAGGAGGAGGAGGAGAAGGAGGAGGCGGTGGTGCTGGTGATGGTGAACATTGCGAAGGCACGGAAGAGGAGAAGAGGAGAGGAGAGCAAGATGCCCGCAGGGGAGAAAAGAGGAGACGAAAAGAGGCGAGGGGAGCCAACGGAGGCATTAACCATGGATTTATTCGGACGAGAAGCCCCGAAATTGCCCGATTACAGTATTACACGCCGCGGACAGGCGTATGGTGGGAGTGAAAGACGCGGGAGGAGAGAAGGTGCACGCGGGCCCCGTGCGAGGGGGATGGGGATGAGGGCTCGAGGGGGCTCCAGTTGTAAAACCGACGTTGCGAGACGTAGCGCGATGCACCGAGCAATCGGCCGACTCCGTGGCTCCAGCAACGGTGGAGCCGGGGCCGTTCCTCTTTTGAGGGTGGCAATTTGCGGTAATATCGCCAACGACGAGGTAGCGCCCGTAATGGGGCCCCAGGGGCCCCACCAGTGTAACGTGTAACTTAGCCCTCGCCTACCTCGCGGCATCCGACGCTCTTTCCCCGAAGGGAGCTCGCCTCTTCGATGACAACCGCGCACGATCGCTCGTATTCGATCGTGATTTGATTCTGTTCTTTATTCTCCCTTCCTCCCTCTCTCTCTCTTTCTCTCTCTCTCTCTCTCCGAGTCGAAGTGAATGAACATCTCGCTTACGGCGAGAGTGAAACGCGGTAGGGCGGAGGAGACGGACAGAACACGTACATTGCGATCGATATCTTTTTCTTCTTCTAGGTAATCTCTTCGGGACATGAAACACCCTTCTGAAATATACGCGTGAATCAAGTTGCTTTTACAACTATTGGCAAAACTTTTACGTCGCATTTTCAAATATAACCATGACATTTATCAAGAAAAACAACGAGAGAAGAGTAACGCCCTCTTATTCATTGGTGTGTAGATGATGGACGAGCTCTGGCGTTAACGCGGCCGAGAAATAGACGCGGGCTAAAGTCCAATAATCTCTCCCTCGCTTCGGAGACTAGGAATCGCCATGAGCAATTACTGGGACTCGCGCGATGCTCTAATCGGTCGTACACCGAGGCACGAGGAGAGGAATCGTTTGTTCTGCATCGCGGACTCCTGGAAGTCTCTCAACCTGTTCACGTGAGACGGTATCGCGAGGCTGCCACAGCCTTGCCCTGAGCTATACGCGGTATATAAACTCTCGTTCGAACGGGTTCTTCCTCTCTCTCTCTGTCTCGGTTACGGCTCTTCATCGCGGCCCGGGAGAAGTCTTACTCCGAGCCTCCTCCGTACTATCCGCGCCGGGGATCGTGTGCCGCGACCGCCCTCTCTCTGTACTCTTCGTCGTCAACGAAGCGCACGCTGGCGGCTCCTCTTCCGCGTCTCACATTCCTCGTCGCCGCACAAGTTTGACGTTTTTACCTCCGGTGGCTCGCCTTGCTTAAGCTCGATCTTCCGATCTAGGAAGGAGCCGTGTGCAAACTGGAAATTTTCGACACGATCGAAGCTCTCGCGCGCATGCATAACGCGTCGTGCCGGGAATCGTGGCGGTTTCCTACGACTATGATTGAACGAGTTCATGGAAAGCCCCGCGCACGCGGAAAAATACATACTACATTCAAGTAAATGTTACTTGTTTCAAATATTTCATGAGTTTATACACCCGCAAATCCGTCACAGGTTCAACACGAGCAGCGAATTTGTTTGAAATACATTATCTGAATCCTAGTGAGTTTAGCACATTTCAATAAAGAATATTAAATTAAAACAAATATTCGCGCGGTTGGCTTTATACATAAAAAGGTATTCAAATTTGCTCTAGATATTCAAATTTTAAGTGAGATATCTAAATTTGAATTTAGGGAGAGAATGTGAGCCTCTCAGAATTGACTTGCAATTATAAATATAATGTCATCATCTCTCTAACTCTGAATTCAGACCTAAAGTCCTTAAAACGTAAAGTAGTCGTTACTTGAAACTTGCTTCAG